CGGAGATTTCACAGCGAACGAGGGGACAAGTAAAATAAACCCATTCCTATTTTAATAATATTTATTATTGGTGTTTAAACGACGATGAAGACGGGTTCCTCTTGAACGTATTAATACGCATAATAATAAATAATAATAATATATACCTATAATATAGATACATAATATAATAATAACCACGGACACTATATTTTGACAACAGTTTGTTAGGATAATAAAAATAAGTAATAACAGCRGAAAGACGGACATMGTATCAGATCAACCAATCAATATAAAAATAATATGTAKTCAGAATCAGCAGCTGGATATTATTAGTGATATGATTTTATATACGAGTAGTATGTGCAAGGCTGTAGAGATATACCTGTGATAATATGAAAATATAGTACTAATAAAATTATTATTAAACACATCGGTGTACGATGCGGCTCTGCGTCGTGGACGATTTATTTAGACATTTTTAAATTTTTTTTCTTTCACTGACGCAGCATCGAGTAGACACATCGATTAAAACGTCAATGATGTATAATGTATATACAACAGCGGCGGCTGCTACGCACACGGTCGATCCGTTTCATGAATTTTCTGATGCCGACGGCAAAATGTACGACTACGCATCATATCGGTATATAGTCGCGTATATATTGTAGATGCAATGATGGTGTATATATATATATATATAGGGTAGCTTCTAGTATTTTTTATTTTGTTATTACTATTTATTATTATTGTGTTATTACAACACGGACGGAACGAAAATAATAATAAAAAAAAAAAAACTATTGTATACGCGTGATTCCGAGTAAGTATTGATCGAGAGGGGGGAGGKAGGGTGGAAAAATAATAAGAAAACCCGCGACGAAAAGACGTGTTTTTCCATTAAATATGAGACGACGTGCCCGAGCACRAGCGAGCTGACCGGGTACGGTCATTATCGTTCTTTTTCGATATAATATACACAATAGACTGTCGCCACTAGCTGCTGCAGCGAACGTGACCCAAACGACCCGTGGAAAACACACAAAATTCCGATATCATCTTTAATATATATATATATATATATATATATACAGTATGAAGTCGCGCGCGCGTCGATGACTACGATGCATATAATATATAATAGTACTTATATACGCCTACCATAGTATCATAATAATCTGTACATATATATGACGTTTAATATCATGGTTATACGTTTTTTCGTCGTAGATAAAATAGTATTATTATATATAATATAGTCTCTCGACACGCACGCGATTTACGCGCGGTCACAATCGGAACTCTGATTTTTTACACCCTCTATTTTTATAGTTAAATTTTTCGAATTTTTTTTTATTTAATCTTACGCGTTTTTGTTACCATGTTGTAGGAAGGTTTTTTCACCACATTTCGCGAACGACGCTTTAACGTCTTCATCCAAGACGTCACTGTCGCGAGAGACGATAGAYGGCGTGCGACGGCGATGTGTCAATTAAAAACGATCGGCGAAAAAAAACCGTTGAACGAATGTATATAATACAAATTGTCATTATTATGACATAATCAGTGCTCATCGATCATATGAGAATTTTGCTCGGAAGATGAACGGTCTTCAAACAAATTTACTTTGTCATAACGTGGGTTATAATTATCATAATATATGGTTTATGTCACTTTAATTTTGTTTAGTACCTATACCTATATGCATATCTCACATATATAATTAAAATAGAAATTTCAGTTTGAATTTAAAAAATAAATGTAATTTCCCTTAACACTGCAGTTGACTATAATATAACAAAATAATCGTTTTTATTTAACATCTTTCTTTTCCGCCACTCTATAACACATGGTTTATGATCGATGATGGCAAATCATGAGCAGCTCGTTAAACACACCGCAAATGAGCCACGGAAAGTTACTGTTGGCGTTATAATAGTATATTGTATGAAATAATAATTATTATTAGTGCGAGCCACGGTTAATGGGTCGTCACCGATTCTAATTCCGGTATCCATATACCCGTACGGAGGCGGCGTGCCAAAGTAGCGAAAAACAGTTTTTTAAACGCGTCTGTACATATAATATAATAAACATAGGTGTATAATGCTTATAATATACAAGCGGGGTCGGAGCGTATATTCATCTTGCCCGCGTGCGATTATGCGGCTGTCGTATTAAAACATGAGGTACAACAGTACAACACTAGCACAMGACACAATGCGTGCGGACGCGACTAATTTTAGCCTTTGATTTAGTGCGCCAACACGACGACAGACCATTGCAGTAAGTACACTGCGAGGTGCGGATGTGGCGAGTGCATATTATAATATGATGCAAGCAGTGCACGTTATATAAATCAACCGGCACGACGACGACGACGAAGACGGTCATCAGTAAATCAACTTTATTTCGACCGTGAAATTATAATACACATAGGTAGATATAGTCGAGGTTACAATGTAATATTATAATAAGACGCTTCGTGTAAATAGCGCTTGCGCCCACTGCATGCAGTTTTCTCAAGTCGCGTATTATATCCAAGTATAAGTGCCGATGACTGCACTTGCAAGTGTTCGCAATGTTCGCATAATGTGACAAATGGACATTTAGCGTATAAGTATTATACTAYATACAAAAACGTCTTTTGCACAATATTGTTATTAAATAGGTATAATGTAATATTGTAATCGGCATCAGAAAAACGCTGAAAACAATACAATTATAATACCTACACATAAATCAGCGAGAGGTCGTTCTTTATACATATAAAAATATTACATCCGTACGAGTTTTAAATACAGAAATTGTGCGCACATTTAACACGACGTAAATCGCGAGACGAATAAGAAAAACATCGAAATATTTGCAGGTCTTTCTTCCGCTGCAGCGGCGGCGGCGACACGAAAYAATTTCTGAGCGCGTATTACACAATACAACATAATTATTTATGTTGTACATTATAATGTTTGTCGTTTCGCCTTGGCCAACCCCCTTGTCACCAGGACCAACCAATCCTTTGCCGTCGCCGAGCAGATGCTAATAATATACGTTATACGTATACATAGTTTATATACGACTATACACACATACACATATAGTCGCGTATAAACCGGACGATAAATTATCTCCTTAACCGCACCCGCGGTGCACACCAAATGACACGCGAAATCCTCCGCAGAGGCTCCTTTTCAAGCCGCAGCTATTATAATATCGTATATTAGTGTCGTTTATACATTATATATTATATTGTTACAATACATATAGGTACAATGTAGGTACATAATATATTATTGCTATAATAATGGTGTGTGTGCCGATTTTTCACACTCCAAATGATTTATCYATATATATATACATGCGTCTACGACTTTTTTGGCCCGTCTTTTCTTTTTCTCATCCCTCACCGCCAACAATAATATTATCTTTGCACATTGAACTGATGTATATACCTATATATAAATATAACCTACCTACATACGTTTGTGTTCAATACAATAATATAAGTGGAATATTAGCCGCGACGACGTTTACACAAGAGTTAACACGCGCATCGGTGTTGTGATTATTGCTCGCGGCTTTTGTGAAACCTCGCACCCCGTCGGGCGGATACCCACACCCATATAATATCATATTATAATAGATGCACTTCGAGTGTGTATATACCACTTATGTTCCGACCACGTTTCAGATGTATAGGTACGCACGTACTTGACAAATGACCGGGACGTCACTCTCATGCAGTATAGTATAAAATTGCCTATATAACTGCAGCTATGTTGCAGTGCTCCAGCATCCTCAGTACAATCGACCTTTATATTATATGTCCCATTTATACGCCGATTGTTCAAGCATCTACATACTKGACTCGGACCCTTCGCTCTAAACCACATATAGGCACCTATATATTATCATGTATTAATATCGTTTGTATTATTTATATGCGTAGTATATGTGCACGCCAATTCCGTTATATTTATATATTATACCTGCGCGGGGTGAGATAAAAATCGTATAACGCGAGCAATATGCTCTGCTAGGTATTTCAGCGGAGTACGTGGCAAGAGGGTGCATTTTTTAAAATTATTATTAGCATTAAGAGGCGGAATTTGCATTCGCAACGTATAATATTACGCACGGTTAGCGGTCGCACATATACCTAAATATACATTATGGAACTATGAAAAAAGCTTACCGTAGCGTTTTACACTTGTCTCTTGAGCTCTGTATATTTTATTTAGAGAACGCCTTCTCACACCCACTGGCGCCTGCCCTCCCATCCACCACCACACCCTTTATCGCAATGACGACAATTAGGTAAAATATTTTTCGTCGGGAGCCGCACACGAAAACGTATATCAGACACGATATCATATTGCTATATACGACCTGCCCGCCACTGACTTTTGCAGCACATCCGTTTTCAACCACACAAATATATATATTATATATCCGAGAGCTATACATATATAATATACAGCAATTACCAAATTTTCGCCGTTCACGTGCTCCACGTTTGTTATACCTATACTGTTATTATTGCTTTTTTCGGGGGCGATAAGGGTGSCGTTGTTGGGGGAGTTYTGCCATGCAGGCGTTTCGTTATTATTATTATTTTTTCTCGCCGTAATATTATTGTATACTATTATAATTTATAATAATACTAACGTAGGTAGGTTACAATATTATACTATAATAAGCACTTCGCTCCGGATGGAAATATGTATATAGCTCCAAGTGCGGGGTTTTAGACACAGAGTTTGGAAATATAGTAGCCACCAGCTTACCGCTGCAAAATGGCAACCGTATATTAGGTGRTACTTATAGAATGCTTTCCTATATAATATAGTTATAGTTATAAACGCAACGCATAATATATTACGCTTGAACCCTATTTTACACGCSAGGGAGTACATATACTGWTTTACTATATATGTATACCTAGCTACCATATTAGTCATACTCGATCATAACTTWAAAAATATCAATAATATAAACTATATAGGCTCACCTTCTGTTCTGGTACCAGGTTTTGACTTGGGTGTCGGACAGATTGAGCTTGGCCGCCAATTCCATGCGGTCCTGGACGCTCAGATACTTTTGTCTCTCGAAACTCTTTTCGAGAGTCTGCAATTGGTGGTCCGTAAACGCCGTCCTCGCTTTTCTCTGTTTCTTGCTGAGATTTGAACCGGAATTCCGACCGTCGTCGTCTCTATGACCTGCAGCACAGAAACAAAAATTCACAATTACAACACGGTCAATGCGCAGCTACAAAACGTATAATAATAAACATGGCAATAAAAATGTAGTGTAGTGGGTAATTCAGTGTATAATAGAAAATAAAAGAGTTAGCAACTATAATACATTCGATATTTTAGTATATGTATGTATATATAATTGTAGCTGTAGGTACCTATGTATTAGATTATAGGTATATATATTATGTGTCCGGCGCTGTATATTTTAGTTTGCCGGACATTTATAATGTTTTATACTTAAATATATATATACTACGCCCACACGGCATCACGAACACATTATGTGACAAAAACGAAAACAAAACAGTAATAATAATATAATAATATCATAAAATCTGAAACGCGATATAAAGCTTAATAGCAGCAGTGACTCGAATGCGCACGTAGTGYTGAGGCGGTGGTCAGGCGGGACACGCATATCACGCGAAATGCCGCCGAYTGCTCCGRTCATTAAGGTATGAAAATATATTATGGTGACGATAAAAATCGCACAAAACGCTCTTGTAACATAAACGGCAATGGGTCGTACACGGAAAAACTCTACTAAATGTTTCTAAATTGTGCTTTTTTTCGGCATCAAACACGAAATATAAGTAAATTGTCGAAGCACGTATTACTTCTTTTATATTATAGCTACGTTGGTACAGTATAGAAATGTTTTAAATTATTGTAAGTACCTATATAATCTATTTTTAAAGTATCATCTAATATTTAATATTATATATATTACTATAAAGGATACAATTTTTTTATGTCTCCTGTTTTATACATCTTATATGTTTAGGGTTTATGCTGCTCCACATTTATATAATAAYAAATATAATATATTGCGATGCAATGCGAAAACAAACGCGCCATAGATTTATTATTCCGGTYTCTGGGGCCGGGTGTGAAAAACCCGTTGTCGACACACTGCAATATATGTAACGAATATAATTCGTCTGTCAATTTGCATTTAAAAAATAAAACGGGGCTTAAAAAAATGAGAGCGATAAAAAATAGCTCTATYGCAACGCGCAGACTCGAACAATGTATACCGCGTGTATAAACTTATACCCCCAAGCTGGGGCGGGAGGGGGATTGTTTGTGTGTGCGTACAATGCCTGTCGAGAGGGGTCGCGCTCGATTGTCGTGTACTACCGGAGACGGGGCGACGGTAATTGGAGTAAAACGGGAAAGAAAGAAATCTGCGGGGCGGGTAGGGATGACCGGCGGGGAAAGAGTCGCGAAAGCCAATGAGCCGCGGTGTGCGCGCGAGAGGGGCTTAAGTGGTCCGCCGCTGTTCAGCCCTTCTGTGTTGCTAATATATTCGATAGTCTTTACTGCAGTGTACGGGTGGCGTGTGTGCGGGCAGTGGTAGTGAAGGATAAAAGGGGTGAGAGAGGCTGTTCACGCAGCTACTACTACTACTTCTGCAGCAGCAGCTCTCTCGCAGTGTAACTCTCTTGTTTTCCCGCCGCATAACAACCACTGGCGACGTGGCTTTTCGTCTCTCTCCACCACCCCTAGAGAGTATTTCGTTATTGCTCGCACAACACACCCTCCGCTGCGGGGTGTACCGCTCTGAAATCTCACCTCCACTGTCTCGCACATAGATATATCAATTTAATGGTGCTCGACTTGTTTATATGCGTATATATATATATATATGTATGTATTTAAGTGTGTGAGCGTATGAAATTTCTAGTCTCCGCCCAACCCGTTTGTAGGTATATGTGTATATAATATATATAAAACGCTAATGGATCCGACGACGCGACATCGGTGCACACGGCGGAGAGGAGCTGCGCTATTTAACCGAATTAATGCTCGCGATACAAATACGTATATATAAATCTCGCACCGCCGCATGTAGATCGTTTAAACGGTTGCGCATACGAAACTATAATWATTGTCTAAATATAGAGCTACCAATCGGTTTTCTATGGATATAACAATAGGCGGGGTAGAACCGCGTGTATATATATTTTCTATATAAATCGCGCGAATTTAGTGATCATTCCGTCGGCGGGTTCACTGTACTAACACTCCGTGCAAACTATAATAATTTCCATGCTAGTCAATTATACATTGTTAGCCAGAAGTGAGTACATTTGTTTGAAATATAAATTATATTATATAATGTAATGGTCAACAGAAAAACGTTGATCGGTGCACGTTATCACATATATCCTAAGCTTCATCAATGTAARCGTTAAAACTGAAATTCTGTGTGCAGTAGTCATCATTTGCTTATATTAAATAYTATATAGGTATTATACAATGACAATCCTTATTTAAACGTCATAAAGTCAAGCTCATCTGTATAATAGCATATAATATTATTAATCAATATATAATAATATACTGTGCCGTATACATACACACATATTATACGTGAGCGGGCAGCAAAAGTCTGGGATTCCGGAAAAATTAATAGTCACGAAAGGTCGTCACGACGTGGGGCGTGGGGGTGTCGGGTGTCCTTTTATGTTGTCCGTTGTTTTCGTTTTATTACACGCACGAATTTCCCGGACTCGTGTTTGTGTGTGCGATATGCGATGGCGTGTGCGTTGCGCATATATAGCGCCCGATATAGCCCATTAAGGGTATAGGTATATAAAGGGTCAATCCTTGCGCTCCGACCCGACACGGAAGGGTGGGAGGATCGAGCGAGTAACGGATAGGAAAAGGGTTTACGTATAAAATCATAAACACAATGCATTATATTATTTAAGGGTGTTGTTTATACAGTAAAACGGCTCGGTTGCCAAGAACTTTGCGTGCTCTCGTTTATATTCGCAGTTTTATATACATTTAAAACACAGGTAAATATTATACATACTAACTTTATTAATAATAGATTTTTTTCCCCGACCGAAACACTTCGCTGACGAGACGGGGTCACAAAACGGAGTCCGGCCGCCGGACTCCACGACGAAGCTCATAATATTATATTATATTATATATCCATTATCCACCAACGTAACAGTTTCTTATATATGGTAGCACATAATAAATGTATAGGTAATACGACAAAAATTTACTATTAACTAAACTTTGTATACCGTTGTGATTTTGTGAAGCTTATTAGAATCTATTTGTGTCAAATATCTAATTCATAGTAGGTATGCATAATGTTATATTGCTGCAACATATATAGATTATAAGTAAATAATATATATCCCCCTCGCTAGAAATCTACACGTTTATATAGAGCGGCAGTCAGGACCGTACTAAAATTAGGGGTTAAACTGTTAAAGTTACTATTGTCCACTATATATAGTGTTTAAAATATAAATATATATATTATATATATAATATAGCAAATAAACACGTATGTAATAAATACGTATTGGGTAAATTATTCTTTATTCACATGTTTAGTATGCRCATATATCTGTATACTATTACTATATATAATGTATAGGTGGCGAAGTGACGATACGTTATAATCATTATATGTATATATAGAAATACATAGTATTGGGTATATATAATACAATATAATATTATACATTATTATTGTCATCTTCACGCAGTTTAATCAACCGGTGTGCTTGACAGATCTCGCCGGGACATAACCTTGACGACTCGTAATAAACACTGYATAATAATTTACGAATAACGTATAGCGTACACGGTGTACCTATATAGGATAGGTATACATACAATATGAGTTATAATATTATTATACACATTGTGCGATACGGCGGCGTTTCGCGACCAGAAAATCTATTCAGTCGGTTAAAAAGTGATTATCGATGTTATCGATGGCGTGGCGGCGGTCGTAACGACATATTACAGCCATCATAAATATAATATTGTTGTACGATGGCGTGACAGAACCACACGTAAATCGATTGTTGGAACATTTTCCTACTTGTTATTTCCCGTCATCCAATATATATATGTAGTTATACCTTCCTAATATAAAATACGCGCTATTATATAGGCAACTCTATAATATATTATAATATAAACGGCTCAGCGTATGAAAAACGGCCCGCGGCGGAAGATTTATACACACAACGTCATTTGTTGTATATATACGACAATGTGATAATATGTATCATCAGATACATAGCTAGAAGTACAACACATATAATAATAATAATGGATATACTGCAAATATTAAATCTACACATTTGAATCTAGAGTGCAATAATTATCATCGTGTAAAATATCATCGAGGATATAATATAATAATAATTGATATGATACGCCATAATAACTAGTGTGAGATAATATACGCGCGGGTGAATCATTTCGTACAGTTCTCGATAGGTATATGGTCTGTGCACACGCCAGGGTATGCAAATATATAGTGGAGGGAGCTAGTATACCGAGGTATAAGGTAGAAATTATTACTATAATAATCTGCAACTATACATCGATGAAATGTAGATGTACCTATATGTGGTAATGTGGTATACTGCAGTCACCTGCAGCAGGGTTCTTATTATCCTCAGTATTTGTATAAGGACTATATTATATAATATATGTGTTTATATCCTATATATAATATATTGATTCGTGTACTTTTCACGCTTCCATCTTTCCATCATTGACTGATAAACACAACATACATATTACACGTATATTAACAGTAACTACACTATAGATGTTGTGACAGAGAGAGAAAGAGAAGAGAGAGACTACGTGAAGACCGTCTAATTTCGGTCCTGCAGCGTATTACACTGTTGGCTCTGTTCCTACACATTATATATTTGTAGCCGCTGCTGAACACGAATTATATAGGACGACGACGACGATGTGATAATATTGTGACGATTTACGGCCGTCTCAGAGTGTGTATTAGCGCCAATTAGCGCGGTCGGGGGAAATAAAATGTATATATTATATTGTCGACGCGCAGCCTTTTCGCCGCCCGCACGACATGYCACTTCTTTTCGTCTGTAAAGAGAAAACGCCGAGAGTGTAATATATGTAATATTTGTACGTGTGTGTGTGTGTCTGCG